CAGGCTAAAGCAGAGTCCAGGTTGGGCTGTTTGGGGCGGTGTTAGTTTCTTAGGGGTGCCGTAACAAATTACCACATATCTGGTGGCTTAAAACAACAGACATTTTTCTCAAACGGTTCTAGAGGACAGAAGTCTGCAACCAAGGTGTTGGCAAGGCCAGACTACCTCTCAAGGCTCTGGGAGAGAACCTTCCTTGCCTCCTTCCGTTCTCGATGGCTCATTGTTCCTCGGCTTGTGGCAGCATCACTCCAATCTCTGTCTCTGTCTTTACATGGTTTTCTTCTCCGCCTCTCCTCCTCTTCTGTCTGTCTAATCTCCCTCGAATTCTTGTCCGGGTCCCAAGCACCTGATATTTGGTTTGGAGGAGGGACCCGTGGTGCCAGTCTTCCATGCCTATCTGAGGCTTGGCTTTCATCTATAAAGCTCACCAGTTCCCTGCAAAGGCCTGGCCTGGAAACACCCAAGCCCTGGTACACCCCAGAGATGTGATGGTGACGACTGGGAATCTTTTAGTGATGACTAGTTAGAAAATAAAAAAAATGAACATGATAGCTGAAACCTTTTCCTGGCAGGCATGGTCTCACGCGGTTTCTCTGGCTTTTCCTTCATGGATTTAGCTAATGGAGGAAATCAATGACCCATTAAACTTTTTTAAATGTCCTAAAGAGTTGTCAGTGGAGAAGGATGGCTGTTTACCAAGGATCATCGACTCCTAACTTAGCAATGTCAGCAAGTTGCCTGGTAAAATCAGTCCTGGTCCTTTTCCTGGCAGATAACTCCGTGTTAAGAGCTTGGGATCCAAACTGGTCTCTGATGAAATGTCACTTCCCCAGCGAGGCCCCTTCTGATGCCTCCTAATAAACAGTGCCTCGTCACTCTATCCTTTTTCCTTCTTAGCACTTATCAGGCATTTGGTGACATATTTCCTCTCTAGTGTTACCATGTGGTATTACGTTACATATTTGTTTTATGTGTTTATCATCTTTCTCCACCACTAAATGTAAATTTCATGAAGAAAAGAAACTAAGTCGATTTGGTTTAATACCCTCCTTAAGCTACAGGTCATTCCCAGATGAGCCCACTAGTCCATGGAAGGTTCCAGAAACTGAGAAGATAGGGTTTCTTTCCACCTGAGAGACTCAGAGCTTGAGGATCCTCAGGTCCAGCCCCTCTGTCCACCACTGAGAATGCACAGCCAGGAAGGAAAACAGCCTGTCCCTTTGAGATTCACACATGCTCTGTTAACATATTTTGGGCACCTTCACTGGTTGGCTGATTTGGGGGGTCTGCTAAAGACATCCCTGAGATGGAACAGCTAACCGGGGCCAAAGCCAAGGGCCAAAGCACTGGAATCTGGATGCACAGAGATTCTACCTACAGCCACAGACAGTGCTAGATGATAATGTCAGCTAGCATTTTCTATTTTCCATTTCCCAACAGCCTTGCAAGTCTGGAGTTACTCCACTTTTCAGATGAGAAAAATGGCTGCTCAGAGAGGGTGAAGAGGTAAAACCAGTGAACCCAAAATACAGAATGCTGGCCTGGATGTTGGTGCAAGTGGGCACAGCGGGTTAGAAGCTTCTAGAGGTCAGCTGCTTACTAGCTTTCGAGTCCTGGGTAAGTTGCTTAACCTCCTGGCATCGGCCTGGATGCTTTCCAGTGAGAAAGACCTAACTGAAAGTGCCTTTCACAAAACGGGGAATTTACTGGCTCATGAAACTGGGAAGTCCAAAGCTGGCTTGCTTCAGGCACAGCTGCATCCAGGGGCTCAGCCAATGTCATCATGACTCTGTCTCTCGATAGCTCTTTCATCTGCTTCACTCTGTGTTAGCTTCACTTTCAGGCAGGCTCTCTCCCAAGGTAACCAAGATGGTCCCAGCAGCTCCAGGCACGCGTCCTGCTAGCTCAGCAACTTCGAAGGAAAAGTACTTCTTTTCCCTGGTGGTCCCAGCACAAGTCCTGGCCTCGAATCTCATTGATCCAAGTGAGTCTCCCATGCCAACTCTAAGCCCAGGGAAATATTGGCAAATGAAGAAACCGAGGCCCAGAGAAGTAGATTCCTTAACCATGGTCACACAGCTAAGAAATGGCGAACCTGGGGTTTGAACCTGGTTTAGCTCTAGTTTCAGAATTCCCTGGAAGGTTAGCCGCCCAGAGCTCCTCACTCGCATCCTCCCTGGGCTCTTCCCCAACCCTAGGAAGACTCCCCCTCCCCTCCACTCCCACAGAGTATTTTAGACTTTACTCCAAGCCACCGAAAATAAAACACATCCATAAATCTAATCGTGAGCTGCCTTCCCTGTAAGGGTGACTGCCCCGTGCGGGGAGGAGAAGGCGCTCAGGGGGAACTGAGGGAATCATGTGGGTTCTGAGAAAAGGCAGCGAGATGCCTGGGGGAAGGTGGGGAGGGAAGTCGGACCCAAGTATGGAAACCAGACCCGGCCCCACTCTTTCGGCAAAGGAGGAGTCTGGGAGGGTTTCTGGAGGTCACTGAAACTCCCCCTGCCCCCACCCTGCAGTTTAGAGGGTGGGGATCGGGGGACACTTCTGTTGAACACACAGCGGTTCCTGGTGCAGGTTCCGGAGTCTGGCTGACTTGGGCTTATGTGGCCTTGGACAAGTTCCTTACCCTCTCTGATCCTCGGTTTTCCGTCTGTTACTTAGAACAAGGATGTCGCAGTTGAATAAGATAGTGTCTCCTGGTCTCTAATTCACAGCAAGGAGGCGATAAATGAAACTGTTGTGATTCCGATCCTGTCGGTGGGTTGCTGAGTGAAAACAGCAGGTGTTTTCATAATATATGTTGCAACCTGATATTTTACATCTAATTTTTGTCCCGCCGGTGAAGGTGAGCAGGGCTGGCTTTGTGACATGTGTGCAACCTCCACAATTGCACAGGGCCCTGTGCCCAGAAGGGCCTACTCTTGTTTTCATGCTCTGCTGTTGCTTTCTTGAAATTCTTAATAATTTTTGAGCAAGGGGCGCTGCATAAGCATTCTGCACTGGGCCCCGAAAATGATGTAGCTGGTCCTGGAGGTGAGGTTCTAGGTTTTCAATTTGTTAAAGTAGGTTAGAAGCAGTTCCTGTCTTTGAAGATGGCAGTGGTATTCCTCCTTTATTCTGAGAGGAGCCACTGCTCTTGATGGAAGTCCTAAAACGATGACATTATCCAGATACGGATTCCCCTTTTTGAG